GCATGGAGGGGGTAGACGGATGCTTGAATATCTCTCTCTCAATCCGCTCTCTCCTCCTCCACTCTCTCACCCTGAATGGTGGCCTTGACAGCCTCGTCCCTGCCGGGCCCGTCTATGCACTGCCTGCTGAGGCATCAAAACATAGCCTGGATTGCAGCTGTGCCTCAACGCACCTCACCTGAAAGGCGTCCTGTCCTCACGTTGAAATGCTCCTTCCTCCCTGTAGCCCTCTTCCCTCTCCCCCTCACCCTGAACCTGAATCGTGGCTTTAACAGCCTCGTCCCTGCCGGGCAGTATATCCACCTCCAGCAGCAGCTCTGATAGCACTCCCACTGCCCTGAATCGTGGCCATGGGCGGAAGATAGATACCTCACCTGAAACGCGTCCTCCTCCCCTCCCTCACCCTGGATGGTGGCCTTGACAGCCTCGTCGTCCCTGCCGGGCAGGCAGTATATCCACCTCCAGCAGCAGTTCCGACAGCATGCTCACTGCTGCCTCCTGCACCGCACTGTGCCGCACGGCCCGTCTGTGCACTGCACTGCATGCCGTGGCATCAAAACGTACCCTGGATGGTGGCTTTAACGGCCTCGTCCCTGCCGGGGAGTATATCCACCTCCAGCAGCAGCTCCGATAGCACTCTCACTGCTGCCTCCTGCACCGCACTGTGCTGCGATGCCAGCGCCAGCAGCAGCGCCTGGTGCAGGGGCGCGTGCTCCCGGTGTAGCTCCGATAGTGTCAGCCCCGCTTGCTTCCTGGGAGGGCGAGGAGAGAGGGGATTGGGAGTGGAGAGGAGAGGGTGGGGGATTGGATGGACTCTCAAATCAACGCCGGTGCCAGCAGCAGCGCCTGGTGCAGGGGCGCGTGCTCCCGGTGCAGCTCTGATAGTGTCAGCCCCGCTTGCTTCCTGGGAGGGCGAGGTTATGGGGGATTGGGACTGGAAGTAAGGTGGGATGGGATGGGGTGGAATGGTGTGGGATGGGTCAATGTGGAATGGGATGGGTGGAAGGTGAGCAGGGAAAGGTGGGTTGGAGCAAGAGGGTGAGTATCTTTGAGAGTGCGAGTATGTTTTGGCCAGTGCATTGATGCCACTCTATCCATGTGTGAATGCAGCATGCGTACATGCAAAAGTGAGTGCATGCATGAAGGTGTGTGCATAATTGCATGTGCGGGCCTGCATGCACATGTGACAGCATTAGTGACAGCAGCAGCAGCAGCAGCAGCAGCAGCAGCAGCAGCAGCAGCAGCAGCAGCAGCAGCAGCAGCAGCAGCAGCAGCAGCAGCAGCAGCAGCAGCAGCAGCAGCAGCAGCAGCAGCAGCAGCAGCGTTGGGATGCGCACCATCGGGCGAGGCAGGTGAGGCTCTTGGCGATGGTGTCGGGGGGCAGGGTGTCCGCTACAGAGGACGTGAGCGCCCTCTCCAGCAGTCGAATCACCTTGGGACAGCAGTCCTGCAGACACTCCATCACCTGCCATGCTCATTCCATTCCCATCCACAGAGCGGAGGAGGAGAGTGTGAGGCGCCCATGGTCACAGCACCATCAATGCCTAAAAAAATGCGCTCTATTCAATTTTATCCCCTCCTGTCCCCTGATAATTGAATTTATGTGTGTGTGTGTGTGTGTGTGTGTGTGTGTGTGTGTGTGTTTTTTTTTTTTTTTTGTCCCTTTTTTTGCTGTCGAATTTCACTATCACATCACCATCACAATAAGCCACCATCACCCTCACCATCACCATCACCCTCACCCTCACCATGGCCCCCCATGTCAACACTCTCAGCCCTCACTCCCCCCCCCCACACCCCCTACCTCTCTGGGGTGCGCCCGTGCGCGCAGTAGTGCCTCTTCCGCCAGCGCTGTGAGCAGCTCTACCGCCACCCCATACTCCGCCTGCCTCTCCACCGCCTCCATCAGCTGCCGCGCGCGCAGGCCGGGGGAAGGGTGAGCGCGCGGCGAGGGGGGAGGGTGGGGGGGGAGGGACGCGGGGAAAAGCAACACGAGAGAACCAGGGGGAAGAGAGGGAGGGACGGGAGGGGAGCTCAGAGACAAGCCACGAAAACGAAGGGGTGACGAGAGGGGGCGATGGCAGAAGAGGGGTGGGGGGGGGAGGGCGAGGGGGGTGGTGGGTGTCGGGGTGGGGTGACTTCACGCGTATGGAGCAGGGATAGGAAAAATATTGTTCCCTACCAAGATTTAACCTACCTCATAGAACCTCTTGGCCCCCCAGAAAAAATCATCCAGCTCATAGCAAGACTTGGAACCGAAGATTTCGAAACTACCTCATAGCACGTGTTGGGGCCGGCTAGAGCAGCAGCCGCGCCGATGACGATGCACAGCCGCGATCGCACCACGGGATCCATGCCCGGCGCCAGCGCGGCCGGCAGTTGCCGTACCAGCGTCTCGAAAATCTCCGCCGCATCTTCCGGCGACAGCTGACCCCAGTCGGACCGCATCTTATTTAGGAGGATGTTCAGCGCGAAGAATCTAACGTCCGCCGCGCCGCCCACGCCCGCTCCTGGCGGCGGGAACGCTAAGTACAGGACAACGGTCCACACCACGGGCTGCCCGCAATAGGTATTCAGCCAGTCGTTCGCGGCTTGACGCTTAGTTAAATCCGGGTCGTGCAATAACGCAGATATCGCGGCCTCCATCTCCTTGGCTCCGGCTAGCAGCGACTGCTCGTCGTCGGAAGCGGGAGGAGCGCGGGAAGCCGCCATGGCTGGTGAGCCCCCGGAAGCGCTCCCGCTGCGGTAGAGATTATGATTATTCGCGAGGCTGGGGTCGATGGAAGGGCTAGTGAAGGAGGGAGAGCCGCCGTGGTGAGTGGTCGGAATGGGAATGGTGAGAGGCGAGGTCGGAGGTAAGCCGCTGCCTCCTTGTTGACCCGCCATGGAAAAGGGGATCGTGGGTTCGTCCCACTGCTACTGATCTTTGTTAAAAGAAAAAAAAAAAGAAAGAACCCCAGAAATCACTATCAGTGGATTTTTCGCACTGATGGTACGAGACGGGGAGAAGACAAATGTTCGCGAAAGGTTGGCGTAATGGCGAAGAAACGGCGCCCAACGGAGGAAAATGGACCAACGGCGAGCAGGGAAGGATCGAGGTGTCAAATGTAAAGGTTAGTAAGCCGATGGCGCGGAAACTTAAAAAAAACTCCCGACCTCAAATTTGCAAATTCTTCGGAATGAGTGCGATTGTCAACGGCTCGCTGCTACGGTGTACAAACCAGCTATCGAGCAACCGAAAAAATACACGGGCCAACGAGACCGCACCAACAGCTTCGCGACTATTCGCTTACTTACGCCACTAAAACCTCCAGAGCGTGAAGGACGTTACGGATTTTCGAGCGTAAGTCGATCGGTGCAAGGGTCACGTGACGACAACCAGATTGCGTAATCAAAATGGTCATCACAGATTGAACTCGCGGGTCCGTGTGTCAAATCAAATTCTAACCTAACAGGGCTGGTGTGGTGTGGTGTGTGGGATGGGGCACAGAGAGGTCTGTCAAGAACAAACTTTGGTAGTGGCTTTTGGTTGGGACGGAGCGCAACGTGACGACAGCCGCCATTGAAATGCAGCAGTCCTGTTCTGTGCTGAACTGTTGTGGATGCAAGCCCCAAGCCACTTTCGCACAAGTTCGCAGAACCCCAGAAGGTTCGATTCTACACGAGCAGGTTCAGCATGCATGGTTTCTCCGAGGAGGAGCATGCGAGATACGAGTGCATGGCGAAAGAAGCATCGGTCGTTACGCAAAGAATAGAGGATGAACTGTACCCAAGACTCCAAAGTCAGCATGCAAACACAGTAGCGTGGTCCCCACCTACCAAATATCCTGTTCACGATATGAGCTGTTAAAAATGTGCGTGTGAATGAACACATGGAACGAGTGTATTAATGAGCAGTATGACTGAATATAATCCTCGATGTTTGAGTTTGCACTTCTGCCTTGTTTGCTCTTGCTTAGCATATTCACTGTAGCTAAGTTAGGTGTCCCTTAGCATCTTGACCAAAGCGTATAGAGTTACTATCACATGGACTTGTAATGAAGGGACAGGGCACGTTCTGTCGCGGCTCGTCCGTCCACTGATCCTCCGGGCTTTTCCACACTCGAAAGCTTTTCTTCATGAAAAGCGCCTCTTCGTCTGCCGTTTCATTCCCCATTCGTCGAACGAGCCCCCATTTCGCTGCCCTAGCCAACCACCACACTGCTTCTCAGCTTTACTTCTGCCCGAACAAATTCATCAAGCCTACACACAAGTGTATCAAACACACGTCCACCCTCCGCCCGCAGAATGCAGCATGGTTGGGAGCGGCAGGTGAGGAGGCACCTGAAACCTCCCTCCCTCTCCAGTCAGAGGGACCGTCAGTCACCGCTTGCGCTGCCGTTTTCCTGTCAAGTTGACGAGTTGGGTTGGGTCGTCGTCAAGACACAAACGACCGTGCGTATTCTCGTTGCCATGCCAAGCACAAAGCACAGCAGCGCGCTGATTGTTCAGCCAATGGAGACTACACAAACATGGACATAGCATAGCAGTAATAGGTCGATAGTGCAGGTGAGGTACCTGTCTTACCGACCACGTCGATTACGTTTGGTGGCAGCTCAAGGCCTCATGGTATGGCTAGTATGCTATGGGGGAAGAGGAAAGGAAGGCTACAAGACGATGGCGAGGCGTCTAGTAAACCCGCATCAGTTCCCAAGACCACGTCGAATGATCCTCCGAGAACGGAGACGGAGCTCGAAGCTATCGGCAGCCCCGTCGTAAACGTCGACGTTGACGGTGACGGACAGACCAAACGGAATGGCGCGTGGGGGAAGCGGCTGGGTAGTCTATTGGGGTCCATACACGCGGGAGAGCAGGGCGGTAAGGAGGGTAAGGCGAGGGATCGGAATAGCGGGAACAGCTCCCCGCTTTCGCCGCAGAATGAGCGGGAGAAGCGCGCACGAGCAGCGAAGAAGAAGAAGAAGCGCGGAAAAGGGCTGTTCGCGATGCCGACTTGCATATGCATGCCGGCCACAGGAATTAACACGACGGGAATCACCATGGACGACGATGATTGGCTGGACGATCCCGGCGGCGATCCCGAAAAGCGCAAGCAGCAGCAGCAGGAGCGGAGAGGACCTGGAAAAGGTGGCCGTTGGTTTCCGTCGGCTGAGGAGGAGGATGCGGAGGAGGTAGGCGGCGCGGATGGTGGTATCGGCGCGGGAAGCAAACCGAGTCGCCTTTCCGCTGACGCTAACGTTGACGTTCTCGCGGTCGCGGATTGGGGCCGCGCGCCGCCCTCGAGATTGCCGTGGGGCGACTACGGCGATGACGTGGACCCGTCGCGCGAGTCGTCGTCGGTGCTGAGGGCGGAGCGCGGGAAGGAGACGGGGGGACGGGACGCGCGTGACAGTAACGAGCGGCCGTCGCCGCCGTCTCCGACGGCTTCAGGTGAGGCTGATGTGAAGTGGGAGGGGGGAGCAACAAAGAACGAGGCGCTGTATTTGTCGGGCGGCAGTGCCAGCCATGATGAATGCGTCGCGCGTGAGTTATGCATGCAAGGGGCGAATCATGTTTACGGCTTGATATCTTAGACCTTACATGTGCCTGTCCCTACCTCTCCCTGCAAAAGCTCAGTCGGCTCTCTCTCCCATTCCCGTCTTCCCTGCCAACTCTTCTCCCCCCTTCCCCCGCGCTCTTCCCGCGCGCTCTCTTCCCCCGCGCTCTTCCCTTGCGCTCTTTCCGCTCGCGCCCTTCCCCCGTGCCCGTGCGCCCTCCGCTTTATGCAGGCTCCGATGCTAGCACAGGCACCGGCCGCTCGCGCCAGAAGGGTGCGGCGGGCGCAGCAGCCGCGGCGGCAGCAGCGTGGCGCAAGCGGAGCGGGCGCAGCTCGTTCCGCCTTGGCGGCTCCAGGCGGGGAGAGGGCGCGGGGGAGAGCGAACGCGAGGGGGAGAAAGAGGGGAAGGCGCAGGCGGAAGGGACGGACGCGGAAGGGGGGAAGAGAAAGATGGGGGGAAGGGCGTCGAAAAGAGGTGCGGAATCAACTGCGGGGGAAGGGGATGAGACCTCGGAGGGGCAAATGCGCGCGCGCACTCCCCGCACTGCGCGCACTCCCCGGACTCCGCGCACTCCGCGCACGCCTCACACACCCAGAACGCCCCGCACCCCCCGTAGCCTTGCGCACGCGCACAGCCACGCGCGTAATGCGCGCACGCCACGCTCCCGCGGGCCCACCACGCCTGGCGGCAGGCGCAGCAGAAGCAGGGGGAACGCGGAGGGGTGGGGGGAGGGGAACGCGGGATGGAAGAGAGGGGAAGAGGGGGACGATGAGGATACGGTGGGGGAGGGTAGGGGGGCGCAGAGACGAGGGGGGGGCAGTAGGTATGGGAGAGGCGGTGCTGGGGTAGGTAGTACTGGTGACGGTGCTGCTGCTGATGGTAGTGTTGGTTGGGGTGGGGGAGGGAGCAGTGGGGACGAGGAAGGGGAGGAGGGGGTGACAGGGGCTGGTGTGAGGTTGGGGGGGAGAAGGGGGAGGAGGAGGGGGGGGAGTAGGGGGAGCGGGGGGAGTGATGCGCGGTGGTGGCGGAATATGTCTAGAGATGGGGACAGGGGGAAGGAGAAGGCAGGCAGGCAGAACGGCGCAATGAGCAAGCGTAGCAGCGGTGCTGCTGCCAGTGGGGGCGGTAGTGGTGCTGGCAGCAGGAGCGAGCATGCAAGAAGCGGCGGTGACACTGATGCTGATGCAGGCTCTGATGCCACCGCAGCAGCAGCGGCAGACTTTCCCCCAAGCGGCGGCAGCAACAAGAGCACAGAGAGCCGTCAGCAGCAGCAGCAGCAGCGAAACTCGTTTGCGCTTGGGTTGGACCATAGCCGCTTCCTGAGCCGTGTGTATGGCAGTGAGAGCAGCCGAGGTGATGCAGGGCCGGGGGGAAGCTACAACTGGCGCACAGAGGATGCGGGGCATGGGGGAACCGGTGGGGGGGGTGGAGAGAGTGGGGAAAATGGAGCGGTGGCGGGGAGTGAAAAGCGGTTCTGGTGGGAGACGGGTGCGGTTGGGAGAAAGGATGAGGGAGAGGGAGAGGTGTTTGGAGCGAGAGTGGGAGATTTGGGTGTGGGTTTGGGAGGGGCGTTTGGAGGAGGGAGAGGTGCGCATGCGCAGATTGGGGCAGGGGTGGTTGGGGAGAGTTTGTTTTTGAGGCGGTTGCGGAACAGCTATGGGGGGGAGAAGGACGTTGATTACTGCAGTACTGTGAGCGAGAGTGAGAGAGGGAGTGGGAAGGAGAGGGCGAGTGTGGTGAAGAGTGGGAGTGAGAGTGGGAGCAACAGGGATGGGGAAGAGGGGGAGTGGGATGAGAGAGAGGGTGAAGCGGCAGTGGAAAGTGGTGAAGGGAGGGACTGGGGAAGAGGGACGAGCGTGAGAAGAAAGGGAAGAGGTGGAGTAGGAGAGAGGGATGGAGAGGGGGAAGGGAACGGAGAGGGGGAGGGAGCGGGAGGGGGAGAGGGCGGGGGAAGGGAAGGGGGAAAGGGCAGGAGGGGAGAGGGCGGAGTGGCAGTAGTTTCTGCGCGCTCGCGGTTCAGAATCAATGTGGATGCGCTGAGGCGCAAGGGCAACGCGAGTGTGGGGGGCGGGGGTGATGATGCTTCCCATGCTACCCAGATGCATGATCGTGCACCTGAGGATGCTGCTGGTAGTGCTGATGGGAATGGTGATGGTGGTGGGAATGGCGATGGTGGTGGTTATGGTGATGGGCAGAATGAGCATGTTGATCATATTGAGCATGGTGAGTATGATGGCAGGCATGATGACAAGCGCTATGACTATGACAATCACACGCCTCCTGCTGCTGCCAGCTCTGCGGTTCTGACTGCTGCCATAACCATGCTCAACAAGCCCCTGTCCCCTGTCAAGCCCCCCGGCACCCCTTCCTCCCGCTCCCCCCGCATCGCCTCCCTCCGCTCCCCCCGTTCCCCCGCCTCCTTGTCCGCGCGCCCTTCCCCCCCTCTCTCCCCGCTCTCCCCCCGCGCCCCCCTCCCCGCACCTGACACCTCCCCTGAACACGCTGCTTCGTTCCCGCTTGACCTACCTTCGTCCGCTGTTCCCCTGCCCGCCCTGCCCGCCCTGCCCGCCCTGCCTGTTCTGCCGGCGCTATCAACAAGAGAACCTACCCTATCTCGATCATCTCCCTCTGACTCCCATGCTGCTTCTCCTCCTCCCCCATCCGCGCTTCACCCTGCTTCCTCCTCTCCCTCCGCGCTCCCTCTCGACTCCCACCACCCCGAACCGTTCTCCACACCTCTGTACCTGGAAGAGCCATCATCCCTGGCGCTACCTGCTGCTGCTGCTTCGGCATACCTTCAACCGCCCTATACCTCCTTGCAGCCCACCTATACCTCTCGTTATGCTGCTCAATACGGGGCAGGGGCAGGAGCAGGGGTAGGGGTAGGGGCAGGGGCAGCAGGGGCGGGAAGGGGTGGGAGGGCTAGAGTGGGGGTGGCAGCAGCGGCCCTAGCAGCTATGGCGGGAGGGGGTAAGGGCAGGAAGGCTTGGTCTCGTACCACTGCTGCTGCTGCTCCTGCTGCTGCTGCTGCTGCTGCTGCTCCTGCTGCTGCTGCTGCTGCTGCTGCTCCTGCTGCTGCTGCTGCTGCTGCTGCTACCCCTGCTGCTGATCTTGATGCTGCTGCTGCTGTGGGTGAAGTGGAGGGTGGGGCGGAGAAAGGGGCAGCGGGACGGGAGGAGGGAAGGAGGGAGGAGGAGGGGCAAGGGAAGGCGAGAGTGGGAACACGGAGGAACCAGGAGGAGGAGCGGCAAAGGCTCAAGGCGCTGATTCGCAGCAGTGAGGAGGGGGACGAGGGGGACGTGGGGGACGTGGGGGACAGTACGGGGAGCGTGGGGGGAACAGGAGTGGTGGGCCGGGCTTTTGAAAATGAGGCGCATGGGGTTGGCGCGAATGGGGATGAAGCTGATGGGATGAGGAGCAGCAGTGGGGGCTCATTCGGGTGGGGCATGCGGCTGTTGCAGCAGTCTGGTTCCGGGTGTAAAGAGGTGGAAATTTTAGAGGGAGATGGGGAGAGTGGCGAGGGGAGAGGAGGGGAGGAGACGGAGGGGCGTGATGAGAGTGTGGCGCGAGGGGGGGTGGTGGGCGTGACAGGGGCAGTGGCAGCAGCACACGAGCAGGAAGCAGAGAGGGACGAGGGGGGGAGAGGGGAGCGAGGATGGGGGAGTGAAGCGGAGGGGAAGGGAGGGGAGAAGGAGAGAGAGGAAGCAGGAGCTCCGAGTTTTGAACCGTCTCGAATTAAGAAGGAAAGGATGGAAGCAGGGGGAGGACGAGGTCCGGATTACTCCCGGTTCTGGAATCAGAGCAGGGCTAGAGCGGAGCAAGGGGATGAAGAGGAGGAGGAGGAAGAGGAAGAGGCGGAGGAGCCTCATTGGGAGGTGTTGAGGGACATTCATGATGAAATGGCTGCTGAGTGGCTGCGCCGTGGACTGCTGAAACGAGCACTTGGTGAGTCGCAGGGTGTGCAGGATGCCGAAGAGGAGACAGAGGAAGAAGAGGGGGGTGAGGAGAGGCGGGAGGCAGGGGAGGAGGAGAAAGGTGTTGAGGAGAAGGGAGTGGGGGAGGAGGGGCGGGAGGAGGATGAAGGGGAGGTGGTGGTGGTGAAGGAGGTGGTGATGGTGGAGGAAGAGGAGAAAGGTGAGGAGAGAGAGGTGGTGGTGGGGTTGTGGGAGGCGCGAGGGAGGGAGGAGACGAACGAGGAGCGGAAGGAGGCGGTGAGTGTTGAGGGGTATGTGAAAGGTGGGGAGGATGGAAGAGAGGTTGTGTGCTCCTCTGGTGCTGAATCATCATCATCATCATCATCATCAGCAGCAGCAGCATCGTCGCCTGTGGCGCCTCCTCCTGTGTTGCCTTCCTTCAATTCCTTCTTCTCCCCTTCGTCCTCATCCTCCTCGCCTCCTTCTGTCGTACAAACCCGGTCCGCAGCACCAGCAGCAGCATTACCGCCACCACCGGGAGGAGCAGCGGCAGCAGCAGCAGCGTTACCACCACCACCAGGAGCAGCAGGTGCTGCAATAACAGCAGTGACAGTGCCAACACCACTCTCGCCTCCCTCCACTGAGTCTGCGCCTGCTGCAAGCACCCCGTTCTCTCCGCTGCTCTCCCCTTTCTCTCTCTTCTTTGGCACCACCAGCAACAAAGCAGACGAAGCTCACCCTTCTGCCGACACTGCCACCACCGCTGCCACTGCCTCTGCCACTGCAGCCGTTACTGCCATTCCCACTGCCACTTCCTCCACTGCTTCTGGCAGCCCTATAACGGCAACAGAGTGTAAAGAAGACTACAGAATGAATGGTGGGGACAGTAGAGAGCAGATACCAATGATACGAGCACAGGAGGAGATGGCGCAGGAGCAAGAGGAGGAGGAAGAGGATGAGGGGAATCGGTGGTGGGAGAAGGGGAGCGGGGGCTTGCTAAGGTACCGTAGTGGTGGGAGTGATATGGACCCGTTTGGCTCAGGCAAATTCTTGTTGCCTTCTGAGAAGATAGGATCAGGTGATGCGTCATCCCACCCTCATCATTCTCTCCACTCTCACCAGTCTCGCCAGCTTGACAAGCCGTTTGGCTCCGGCAAGGGCTTTTTCCTGCCCTCGGAAAAGAGAGGATGGCTGATGGGAGGGAGCGTGAAGGAGGGCGAGGAGACGGGGGAGAAGGATGATGTGGAGTCTGGCGATGGGGATAGGGATGCTGGTGTGGATAGAGATGAGGGTGGGGATGGGGATATGGCTAGGGATGGCCGTTTTGAGAAGGATGACGGAGGGAAGACGGAGGATGAGAGCACGGAAGGCTCAGAATCCAAGTCAGGCGAACGAGCTAAGGAAGCAGCAGCAGCAGCAGCAGCAGCAGCAGCAGCAGCAGCAGCAGCAGCAGCAGCAGCAGAAGGAGTGGTACCACCACCGGCTGCTGAAGCTGGATTTTCCTCACCTGACCCATCCACAGGCGCACATGCCCCGTGCACCCCTCACATACAGGACAAACGCATCTTCTCCTCCCCCTCCACCGCCTCTCCGTCCCCAATCCCCTCTTCCACCGCCTCCCCTTCCCCTCTCTCCTCATTCACCCCCTCCCTCTCCACACCCTCTCCCCCCACTGTCCCATCCTCCTCCTCCTCCTCCGCTTCCTCCTCGTCAGCATCATCAATGGCGCCCCACACGCCTCCTCTCCCCCCGCCGCCTGGCCGTGCGCTCGTCTTCTCCCCCGCCTCGCCCTTGGAGGAGCAGCCTGAGTCGACTCAAAAGTCAAATGCGCCTCCTCTGCTCCCTCCGCTTGGCCGTGTTCTCGCCTTCTCCCCCGCCTCGCCCTTGGACGAGCACCCTGAGGGCGCTATTTCGGAGGCGCCTCAGAGATCGCCTCTTTTGCCGCCTCCCCCTGGCCGTGTGCTTGCCTTCTCCCCCGTCACACCCTTGGGCGAGCGGGCTGAAGAAGACCATACTATAAAGGCGCCTCTAGAATCGCCTCCTCTTCCTCCTCCCCCTGGCCGTGCGCTCGTCTTTTCCCCCGCCTCGTCCTTGGACGAGCGGTGTGAGGGTGAGAGCGTGTGCGCCACAGCAACCACTGGTGCTACCCAGCAACCACTCGCCAGTGCTACTCGTGGCGGGCAGAAACTCGAATGGCGTGCAGGGGAAGGAGGAGTTACCACGAGGGTAGCTGCGGACACACGAGCAGATGCAAGGGCAGAGGAGAGAGCAGAGGAGAGGGCAGCGGAGGGAGAAGGGGAGAGAGAGGAGACACGAGCAGGGGAAGCAGGAACCATGAGGAACACAGCAGCAGTGACCTCACTCCCGGAGCGGCTGTCACCTGCGCACCATCACTACCAGCACCCAACCTCGCCCTCCCAACAAGCGGCATCTATAGACCTGCCCTCCCCATCCCAACAAGCTGCTTCAGTGGAGCTAACCTCCCCCTCCCAACACGCAGCATCTCTAGACCTGCCCTCACCGTCCCAGCAGGGAGTGTCAGTGGAACTACCCTCGCCGTCCCAGCAAGGCACATCAGTGGAGGTATCCCCAGTGGGGTCCCAGGGAGGGCGGATGAAGCCGTGGCGCAGCAGAAGCATTGGCGCCCGGGCAGGCATTCCCAGCCCCAGAGCAAGCATTCCCAGTCCCAGGTCTCGTGAAGCGGGGACAGCAGGAGGGGCAGGAGGAGCAGGAGGGGCAGGCGGGGCAGGGGGAGGGGCTGGTGGGTCTCTGGTTAGTCCCAGGTCAGGCAGGATATTGAGTCCGAGAGGGGGAATGAGCGGGGCAGGGGAGGGAGAGGAGGGCAGGGGGGGTTCCCTCTCCTCTGCCTCGTCCGCTCGCCTCGCACGCCCGCCACTCCCAGCACCCCCCATCGCCTCCGCCTCCTTCTCCCCCTCTCTCTCTTCTGCCGCCACCACCGTCAACGCCGCTGCTGGTGCTGGTGCTGCTGATGGTCTTTCCAAGCCCCCATTGACTTCCTCCTCCTCCTTTGGCTCGCTTCCTCTCTCGTCCCTGCACTCGCAGCTCTCCCTACCACGCCTACCCCGCATCACCACCGCGGCCTCTGCTGCTGTCAATGCTGCTGCTGCTCGTACTGGCAGCTCCATTGCTGCTGCTGCTGCTGCTGCCGCTGCAACTGCTGCGTCCAGTGCGAGGAGTCGCAGTGAAGGCAACAGCCCGTCAGTGGCAATGACATCTGCAATGGCATCTGGAAGGTCATCATCGGGCGCAGCAGGGAGCGCACTCAGCTTCTTCTCCTCCTCGCCCTCCGCCACCCCTCGCTCGCTCTCGCCCAGCCGAACAGCTCCACCGGTCAACCCGCGGCGCTGGCTCGACTGCCTCAAGTCGCACCCACTGATCGGGCCCAAGGTGGGTACAATCTAGCAGAAATTGAGAAGTCTTCTGAGACGAGGTGACTTTTGAGTCGACTCAAAAGCCGAGCAGCACCGCCGGTGGTGAACCCTCCGCACTGGTTCAACTGTCTCAAGTCGCACCCACTCAACGGGACTAAGGTGGGTCGAGTCTCGTGAACGCCAATTATCTTCAAGTCTCACCCACTCGTCGAGCCCAAGATGGGCTGAATCTGGGGGCTTTGAAATGATTTGTGAGGCGTTGCAAAGTCAGCTCTTGATACAGCTCAGAAACCAACTCTAAGTCCCATCTGGCAGAATCTAGCTGGCTTTTGAGTCGACTCAAAAGTCAACTCGGCTTATAGGCCAACTCTAAGTCTTATCTGGCAGAATCGAGCACACTTGCACACATGCTTCCTACTTGCATGTGTGGGCTGCGCTCTATAAGTGCACGTCCATAGTGGCTCACCCACTCAAAGCAGGCATGTGTGCCATCTCACACACACCCCCTCTTCCCCTTCCTTCCGCTTCCAATCCCTTCCCTTTCTTCCGTTTTCCTCCCCGTCTCTTCCATCTCTCTCTCCCGTCTCTTCCCGTCCCCCGCTCCACAGATCACGGCACGAGACGAGGGGCCGCTGCAGTTCATTCAGGACATTCGCATTCTCGACTGCCCCAACAGCGCCAAGGTCAGCCTGCCACCCTTGCATTCGCATTCTTAACGTCTACTCCTTTGAAAAGTCTCAAGAACACCGTGTGCTGTGCTGTGCACACGGTACCGTCCTGTGCTGTGCTGTGCACACCTGCACCGTCCTGCACCGTCCTGTGCCATTACCTCCGTGGTTCCCTTCTGTGCCGTTCCACGCCTCCCATCCCATAAAATCATACACATGAAAGGTCTCATTGAAAGCTCATATCTACGCATGAACTCATCAGCTCACCTACGAATCAACTCTCACCCACTCACTTGGATCTCCGTCTGAGCTCCTCTGTCCTCGCCTCCTGGGCTTCCCCCATCCACGCCATGACACCACGACAGGGAGCACGAGTGGAGTTTCTATTCCGCGCCAACCCCTTCTTTGGCAACATCAGGGTGAGGCTCGGCCACTGCCCCTCTGTTGCACTGATATGCAACCCCTTGGTAGACACTGCCTTTTAGGTGCCTGGTAATTTCGTGATTTGTGATGTGATATGTAACACATTGAACCTTGAGGCATCTCAAGGCTTAGGTTTCGTTTGCATGCTCTCTGACTGTTTCTATGATTGACGAGTCACACGCCCATCCACCCGCTTCTCCTGCCTTTGCATTTCTGCGTGTGCATACGTGCATGTGTGTTTGTTGTTCGTGTGCATGTGTGTTTGGGAATGTGTGCACGTGCATGTATGCATGCGTGCATGTGCTTGTATGCATGCGTGTGTGTGCATGCATGCATGTGTGCAGCTGACCAAGTCGTACATAGTGAAGGACAGGATTCGCTACGGTGACCCACTCTTCTCCAGCATCCAAGGGTCAGTCACCCGCCGACTGGACCATTGCTCTTCACCCACTCCCACTCCCACTCCCGCTCCCGCTCCTGCTCCCGCTCCCCCTCCCGCTCCCAACCCCGCTCCCAACCCCGCTCCCAACCCCGCTCCCAACCCCGCTCTCACTCCCACACCTTATTCTCCACCTGCCTTTTTTTTTTCCAGTTTGTTATCACGTTATTGCCTCTTCGATCTGTTGATGCTCTATCACCCACCCACTTCCTCACCCACTCTCCTTTCTCCTCTCACCAATCTCCCAACTTTCCCCCTTCCACACTCCTCTCCCTCCATTTGACCCTCGCCTTCCTTCCCATTCTTCCCCTCGCTCTCCCTTTCCACCCCTTCTATCTTCTGAGGCTCTCCAAAATCCCCTTCCATGTTTCCAATCTGTACTAACCCCAACCCACCTAACCCCCCTCCCCCCCCCCCCCCCCCCTCCTCTCCCCCCCATGTCCTTCCCCTCCCTCCCCCCTTCGAACCCTTTCTCAGCTCCACCATTCATTGGCTTCCAGGAAAAGACGTCACCAAGAGACCTCCCCTCCCCTCCTCTCGCTCCATCTCCTCCTCCTCCTCCCCTTCTCTCTCCTCCTCGACCACCACCACTGCCACCGCCACCGCTCCATCCACTGCCGCTTCTACCACTCCTGCTGCGACAGAACCTGCTGCTGCTGCCGCCCCTGCTAGTTCTGGCGGATGGTTTGGTTGGTTCAAACCGGTAGCAGCAACGGCTGCAGCAGCAAACGCCACTGATTCTACTGCCACTGGTGCTGCTGCTGTTGCAGACGCAAGTGGGATAGGAGGAGGTATCGGCAACGAGGGAGAGGGGAGAGGTGAAGGAAGAGGGGCAGTGCTCGGGCAGCAGCAGCAGCAGCAAGTGGAGGAGGAGGAGAGTTTCTTTTTCTTCTTCCGCTCGCGCCCCGCACTCACAGAGGAGGAGTCGTCAGAAGAGACTGTGGTAAGCGGGAGGGGTGGAGACTTTTGAGTCGACTCAAAAGTAACTTTGGGAGGGGGGGTTTTAAGGTTTGAGGCGCGTGCGCTCACAGAGGAGGAGTCCTCAGAAGAGACTGTGGTAAGCGGGAGGGGGGATGAGTGGGACAGGGGAAGTGCGGGAAGGGGGAAGGGGGAAAGGGGAAAGGGGAAGGGGAAGGTGGGGAGGCAGGAAGGGGGTTGGGGGGTGGGAAGGAAATGTAATGTAAGTAATGGGCTGAAGCGGACGAGAGAAGGGGCGAGACTAGCAGGGGCAAGACAGAAAGGGAGGAGGTGAGAGGGGCAGGCATGGGAGCAAGTGGTTTGTGAGTGGGCAAGTGTGAGGAACGGGTTATGGCGATTGTTTTGAAGGACTCCGCGTGGTTGCTGCTGCTGTTTTTGAGTCGACTCAAAAACAAGGCTGAGGAACGAGGTACGGCGTTTGTAATGTTTTGAAGGACTCCATGTGGATGATGCTGCTGGTTCGGATCCTCACTCCGAGTGTTGTTACATCTGTGTGCTTCGGGGTGCGTGCGTGCGTGTGTGCATGTGTGAGGGGAATGGGGGCGTGGGTGCATGTGTGTGTGCGTGTGTGAGGTGGGGAGGGGGGGATTGGGGCGTGGGTGTGTGTGTGTGTGTGTGTGTGTGTGTGTGTGTGTGTGTGTGTGTGTGTGTGTGTGTGTGTGTGTCTTTCTGTGTGTGTGCGTGCATGTGTGTGGAGAGCAGGAGCTGAAGCTATTGGAAGATGTGGTGACACAGGCAGCGGAGAGAGAGTAAGTGATTCCATGCACTGCCATGCTCTCTCATGCACTCTCATCACCACCCTATCACTTTACCCATCCTCCCAATCATCACTCAAGCGCTCTTGCCTCTTACCCCTATCCATTTCCACTTGCCACTTGCCACTTGCCACTTGCCGCTTGCCACTTGCCGCTTGCCACTTGCCGCTTGCCACTTGCCGCTTGCCACTTGCCGCTTGCCACTTGCCACTTATCCCTTATCCCTTGCCTATAGCCCCTTGCTTATTGCTCCTTACTTGATATCTCGTGCCCCTTGCTCCTCGCCACTTGTTCCCTCTTCCCCTTTGCCCCTTATTTCCCCTTCTCCTTGATTATCCTTCTCACTTTCCGCGTTCCCCTTCCCCTGCTTCCTCCATCCCGCCCTGATCCATTCCCCCCTGTTCGCAGCATTGAGGTTCCGAAACGAATACCCACCAACCTGTTTCCCCCTGTTCCCTTTCCTCTGCTTCCTCCACTCCCCCAACCCTCTCCCCTCCTCGCAGCATCGAGGCTCCGGAGAGAATAGTGACCAACCTGCTGGCATGGTACTCGCACCTGGGGGAGGGCGCAGGGGACGACGAAAGCAGCAGCTGCGGCAGCAGCAGCAGTGGGACAGAAACCACAGAGGGGGAATCTCTGGAAGCAGAGAGAGAGGGGAGTGGGAGGAGTAAGGGGAGTGGGAGGAGTGAGGGGACTGAGGAGGGTGATGGTGGGTGCACTGGTACTAGTAGGTTGATGGTAGCGGGTGTAGGGGCGGAGATGATTAAGGGTGATGGGAGGAGTGGGGCCCGACTGGTGTGGCGGGATGGGGTGAGAGTAGAGGAGAGAGGGGACGGGGAGGAGGAGGAAGAGGAGGAGGAGGAGGAAGGGAAGGCGAAGGATGTGGGATGGAAGCAGATAGCTAGGTACACGACCAATGGGGATGGTTTAGCAACGGTGGGTAACGATTCGGTAGGAAAAGGGAAGGCGGAAGACGAAAATGACAGGGAAGAGGAAGGAAAGGAGGAAGGCGAGCAACTAAAAGGCCATGAAGTCACAAGCGAGCCAAACTCCCCTCGTATCATACCCCTCTCCTTCCCTCCCTCTTTGGCCTCCCCCGATCGCTCCCCCCATTCCTCTTCCAGCCCCATCCCGCCTCAACTCTCCACCCATCGCCTGCCCGCGCTCCTTGCTCCCCCCCATCCCCTTCCGCCGCTTTCCCCCTGCGCCACCACCCCTCCCCCTCCCCCCTGCCCAGCGCAACCCTGGTCTGAGCAGGGGCTGTGGCAGCTGGGGCTGAGACCCGGCCCAGATGCGGCTAGGTTGAGAGAGGTGCGCTTGGATAGCCTCAGTGCTGCTTTGAAGGGGCAAAAGTGGAGGCTGGGAGGGAGGGGGGCGGGCGAAGGGAAGGGGAAGTGGGGAGGAGGGAGTGATGGGAGTGGGAGTGATGGGGAGGAGGGTGGGGAGGAGGGAGAGGAGGAGGAGGAGGAGGAGGAGGAGGAGGAGGAGGAGGAGGAGGAGGAGGAGGAGGAGGAGGAGGAGGAGGAGGAGGAGGAGGAGGAGGAGGAGGAGGAGGAGGAGGAGGAGGAGGAAGACGAAGTGGAGAGGTTGGGAGAGATGCTGATGAAACTGGAACAAGAGAGAGGGGCGGGGGTTGGGAAGGAGGAGGCGGAGAGGGGTGTGGAGGGAGGAAGGCAAGGTGAGGAGACAAGGGGAGGCGAGGAGGAGGAGAGGGAGGAAGACATTGGGAGTGAGTCTGATGATGGTATGATGCCAGGGATGGTGGATGGGAGGGAGGAGGAGGAGGATGGCGAGGAAGGAACAGGGAGTAGAGCGAAGCCAAGCAGCAGCAGCTGCAAGAGCGGCAGCGACTTCAACGCAAGAATAGAAGCTGGAGATGAGTTTTACAGATGTGGAGGGGAAGTTGCAGGGAGGGAGGCAAATGCAAGCACCGCTTTGACCGCCCCACCCAAGGGGACCTCTGCGCCATCTGGAAGACCATCCGACACATCACTTGACACCTTCTCCCACACATCACCTGAGACATCACCTGACGGCACACCTGACAGGACCCCTGAAAGCACACCTGAAGGCCACCTGGGGAGCCACGGCAGCTGGAGCCTGCGAATGGGGAGTGAGAGTGAAGAGGCAGAGATGCCGGGGATGGGTGGGGCAGAGGAAGAAGAAGAGGACGACTTTGATGTGCCTCTAGAAGCGTTGCAGAGCCTCCGCCCTGCTGAGCCACACCCTCTCCTCCTCCTGCCGCTCAGACTCACCCCCCACACTCCCACCGCGGCTGCTGCCGCTGCCGCTGCGGCTGCGGCGACTGCAGAAGCAGCGGAGGCAGCGGCGGCGGAAGTGGCGGCGGTGACAGCAGCGGCGGGGATGCATTCTGGCTGGCCTGCTGCAGGTTGCCTCCCTGCTCAAGCGCCCTCGTAAAAACGGTCTTGTCCTCTTAGCTCTCCCTATCTTTCCCTAGCTCTCTCTCCCTGGCTCTTCGTAGCTCTGTTTGCCCCCTCTCTCCCCGTTTTCCCCTTGCCTCTCCTCCTTGTCTAAACTTCTCAAGATTCCCATCACCTTCTCATGTTGCTACTTTATTTATGATAGCAAGCTAAGAAGTCCAATTATTTTCCTGCTCACATGACCCGAAGCAGTCAAAAGCGGACAGGTGGGTTGCCAAGGCCTTACTTCCATCAACTCATGTTATTTTCCTGCTCACATGACCCGAAGCACCAGTAGTACTTTTTCTCTCATGTAACCAAACACCCAAAGCGCTAACCCCCCCACACATTCCCACACGCCGTGTCTCTCACTGTCCCTTCCCTTCACTCCCATCCTTGTCGCTTCCGGTCACCTACTCCCCTTGTCTCCTCTGCTCACCCACTCCTTGTGTGGCCTCCCCTCCCTCCTGCATGTGCCTGCTGCCTGCAGGTCGAAACGCGTGGGGTGAGTGCGAGTGGTGGATGCTGCCTTACCGTCGCACAGGGGGGGCGACAGAGACAGAGGAGGGAGAGCAGGGAGAGGAGAACGCGGAGGAGGAGGAAGATGAGGATGAAGAGGAGGAGGAGGAGCCTCCAGTGCTGTTAGCTCTCAAGTGGAGGGCAGCTGAGAGATCCTCCTCTAGCGAGGTGCACCTGCACGGCACGTTTGAGGCTTCTCAGAAGGACTATCTGCAGAATCGTTTTTCCAAGGGAGATAGAGAATGGCATGAGGAGGAGGACGATGGCAGCAGCACGGGCGGACCACCCTTCCAGTCGCACCACCACCACGCCGCCACCTCCCACTCGCCCACACTCCCCCCCCAGACGCACCTCACAGACCTCCCAGATCCCCTCCTCGCTCTCATCCTCGCCCGCATCTCCCACCCTAGCGACATCTCCGCGTGCCTCCTGACCAACCGCCGCCTGTCCCGCCTCACCCGCTCCTCCCTCTCCCTCCTCGCGCTCCCCCCCGGGGCCCGCATTAATAAGAGCGATCTGCTGCCGTGTTTGGCTGACCCGGGGAGGTATCCGGGGTTGGTGGGTGTGATGCTGGGGAGGGATGCGGTGGAGGAGGAGGGCGATGATGTTGTGTTGGCGCTGGCGGCGTGTGGAGAGAGGCTGGTGAAACTGGCCCTGGATGGCCAGCCCAATGGCATGGTGAGTGGTGCGGATGGATGCTGGGGGGATGTGGTGGGGATGATGAGGGGTGGGGATGAGTGGTGGGGAGGAGGAGGGGGATGATGTGGTGTTGGCGCTGGCGGCGTGTGGGGAGAGGTTGGTGAAACTGGCCCTGGATGGCCAGCCCAATGGCATGGTGAGTGCTGGGGGGGGCTGGGTGCTGGAGGAATGTGTTTGGGGGGGGGGGAATGGGTGGTGGGGATGGGTGGTGGGGATGGGTGGTGGGGATGGGTGGTGGGGATGTGTGGTGGGGATGTGTGGTGGGGATGGGTGGTGGTGTTTAGACATGGGGACAGTGTCAGCCCCTGTCATTGCTGTTCTTATAATGAACTTCCTTCCTCCTCCCTCCTTCCTTCCCTTACCCCTTCCCTCACCAACCAGGATCGCTCCAAGTGCCGTTCGCTCTCCAGTCTCGACTCTCTCTTCCTCTCCTGCACCAATCTGCAAGCCCTTTCTCTCTGCACCGGTCGCTACACCCGCACGCTCCCTCCCACTCTCTCCTGCCTCTCCGCTCTCTCCTCTCTCACTATCAACAACAGCGCATGCAAACTAGGTCTCATCTCCCTCCCTCGCTCTCTAGGAGCTTTGATTAATCTCCGCTCTCTCTCCTTAGTCTGCTGTTGGCAATTGGCTTCCCTGCCCGAACAGATCGGGCAGCTATCAAACCTCCAGGAGCTTCGGCTGATTAGCCTTGACTGCATTCGTAGGCTGCCCGAATCTCTGGGCAGACTATCAGCTCTCGAGCTGTTGCACATCCGCTGCTGTTGCTCGTTACAGCAGCTGCCCGAAACCATCGGGCACCTTAACAAACTGACCGAGTTAGTTTTAGACATGACAGGCAGCACTTCGTGGCTCGGAACAATTTCATACCTGCCCGAATCCCTCGGCGACCTATCAAGCCTTAGACAACTAGAGATTCGCGGCTGCCCGAGGATCACTGAGCTGCCTGAAAGCATTGGGTATTTAGGAGCTTTAGAGGAGTTCATTTTCGATTCAGGAGGGTTTTCCGAAGATTCAGACGAGTGTGGACTAACCAACTTACCCCTAACCTTCTCCCAGCTTCACTCCCTTAGGCTTCTTGATCTCAGGCGCTGCTATGAAATTTCAATGCTGCCCGAATCGCTGGGCAGCTTGAGCGATCTCCGGGTGCTGCGTCTGGTGCAGTGCTTTTCTGTGGGGTCGCTACCCAAGTCCTTGGGGGAGCTGGAAAAGCTTGTAACTGTTTATGTAGACAACAGGGTGGATGGAGATTCAGAGGAGGATGAAGAGGAGGAGGACGAGCAGCAGCAGCAGCAGCAGGAGGCGGAGTGGGTTGGCGAAGGAAACATGAAGCGGGAAGAAGCACAAGGGGAGAGCGAGGAGGAGGAGGAGGATGGGCCAGGAGGGCTTGTAACCCTTCCTGACTCCCTAGGCAAAGCACATGGCTTGCAGCGGCTGGTTCTCCGGTCAAACATCGGCCTGCGTTCACTGCCGGCCTCCCTTCACCTGCTCTCCTCCCTCCGCTGTCTCACCCTTGACTTCTCCGAAACACGGCCGCCATTATCGTCGACTGCAGAACCAGGTGCAGCAGCAGCAGCCGAAGATGTATCCGCAACAGCAGAAGCAGCAGCACCGCCGGCAGTTGCGCTGCGTGCTGCGGCTGCGGCTGCTGCTGTTGTGACTCCTGGCAGTAAACTGTGGGACCTTGGGGAAAACGCGTTTGGGTTTGAGCACCAGAGCAGGGGGAAGGCTTCACGGGAAGGAGAGGTGGAGGCGGAGGAGGCAGGGGGGGAGCAGATTGTAGGGTTTCGTGCGTGGGAGTGGGAGATGCAAGGGAGGAAGGGAGGGCAGAGGGGATTTGGACGAGGTAGCGAAGAGTGGCGGTGGGCGGATGGTGTGGTGGGGGGCACTCCTGTGACCACCTTGCAATTCTACTTCCACACTGCAGTTCCCTCTGCACCTGCTTCAGCAGCAGCTCCACCGCCACCAGCAGAACCAACAGGAGCAACAGGAGCAGCAGCAGCAGCAGCAGCCCACGGTATATCCCACCTGAGCCCCTCTCTCCACCACCTCTCCAGCCTCCACTGTCTCGAGCTCATTAACTGCTCCTCCCTTCGCCACCTGCCCTCCTCCCTCACCTCCCTTCCTTCCCTGCGCCGCCTGGTCCTGCTCAACTGCCCCGCCCTCACCGCCCTCCCGCAAGGAATCTCCCGCCTCTCCTCGCTCTCCTCCCTCGTGCTCCTGCACTGCCCGCTGCTTGCTGGGAGCGAGCGGCAAGGGGAAGCAACAGAGGGGAGAATTGCATCAGGCGGAGAGACGCTGCTGCTAGGGCAGGGGACTTGCGAGAGGGGTGATGATTCAGCACCGAGGGGTGAGAACGCGGGTATTGAATCATGTGGTAGAGCTTTAAATGGAGGTCATTGGAGCAGTGGCAGTGGCAGTGGTAGCGGCAGCGGCAGCAGCAGCAGTGGAGGCGGGAAACTAACAGAGCTGGTGGGCCTGCCGCTGACGAGAGTAGTGGTGGATTCTCACACTCTCACACTGCTGCCTCCATCGCTCATCTCCTCTCTGCGGCGCAACCTGGTGCTCCTGTCACCCTGACACGTACACACCCGCGTTCAGTACACCCGTTCTCTTCTCCCATCCTTCTCCATCTTGCCTCCTCTCACTCTCATTCTCGCTCTCTCTCGCCTCTCCCAGGCTAGAAGTGTGTGAGTGCATTTGCGTGCGGCGCTGTTATCACTATCACTGTCACAGGCAGCCTCTCGCTGCCCATGGCTCTGGCTCGGCGCTGCACCACACCTCTTCTCCCCTGGCCCTCTGCTGTGCCTGCTGGAAATGCAAAACCTGCTGCCCGTCAGCTGCCCATCACCAGAACCTGCCCGTCAGCAAGCCCACCTGTTGCCACCAGTTACCATACCACCCCGTTCATCACATGCTCGCTTCTGGTTGCCATACCTCGCTCCAACTCCATCTGCCCCTCAGTGTTCTCGTCTCTGCTTCTTACAGCCCAGTCATGCCCCTTGTAAGGCTGAGCATGCTACTTACCAGCAGTGGCAGTTACCCGCAACACCATCACTTCCAGGCTGGAGGAGATCATTTGTTATCCAGTGCTAAACTTGAACCCATTTGTGTTGTCTACTAACCGAATTGTTGTATGATAAAACGCTCAACTTTGGTATATGCGGTACTTTCTTCCATAAATTGGAAGGGGTGATATGGTAGGGGTGATACATCTACCAGCCAGGACCAAAACTCAAAATACCCTACCTATTTTGAGTACCAGTAGTACCCAGCTCAAGAAATTCCAGAATTTGCAGGGGCTAAAATACCCTCTTTTCCAGGTAGCAACTTTACACAGAATGAACACTTGCATGGTGCACAAACCTGTGATATCATGCTTACAGTCCCAAGGACCAGCCTGCCTTATTAAGGATACAGGGTTACCGTACATGATGTTGTAGAGAAGAGACACCTAATCTGAAACAACACATGTCTCACGTGGGCATACTATGTGCATAATAAATAACTTCAGAGCATTGCTCTGAGCTAAGTCTTTGGTAGAACATTAACAAGTTCCTTCCCTTTCAGTCCACCCATCCAACTTGAAAGGCAGGGAGCCAGGCAGGGGAGCTGGTTGCGATAGAAAGACAGTTTGCCCTCAGGCGAAGTCACTGCTGCAGAAACATCAACAGGGTTTAGCCCTGCGCATGCTCGTGCCACACGCACACATCACGATTCACCATGTCATCACTGCATATGACAGTCACCAAGTCATACCACCAAACCACAACATAACCCATCACACACCCTCAAACACCATCACACCCCATCATACACCCTCAAAACACCATCACAACCCATCACATCCCATGAAACACCATCACAGCCCGTCACACCCCATCAGACGAAAACCCCACCACGTAACACCACACCTCACCACACACCACCGCATCTCAGATCATCGCCCTGAGCCAAGCATAGGCACACGTTAACGAGTGTTCCCAATCAGAGTCTATCCTTCCAACTGGAAAAGAAGGGAGCCAGGCGGGGGAACCGGTTGCGAGAGCCGACAGTTTGCCCTCAGGCAAAGTCACTGCGACAGGCACATCAACAGGGTTACTTTGCCCTGCGCATGCTTGTGCCACACGCACACATCACGATGTCATCACTGCATATTACAGTCACCATGTCACGCCTCAAACCCCATCACACACCCTCAAACACCATCTCATCCCATCACACAAATACCCCACCGCGCACCACCGCACCTCACCATACGCCACTGCATCACAAGTCATGGTGCAGCGCCGGAATCCCTGCAGCCCCACCCAGCACCCCTGCAACCCCGCCCGCCGCACTCCCCGCAGCGCCCCCCGAATCCGGCCCCAGAAAAGTCTCCTTGTGGTTGAAAAAGGTGGCGGCGAGAATAGCGTACATGAGAACAAGCATGAGCCCCTTGAGCCAGTTGGCATTGGCCTCGTGCAGCACAAGCACGGTGATCAGAACCGTGATGAAGAGAGCGAGCGTTTCAAAGCGGTGGAAGTTGAGGTCCATGGGGACTCCGATGATCCACCCGCCGATGACTGCGAGCGGGATGAGGAACATGGCGAGCTGGATGGACGAGCCGACCGCGATGGAGAGCGCCACGTCGAGCTTGTCGCGCATGCCAAAGAAAATGGCGGACGTGTGCTCTGGTGGAGGCCGAAGAGGGGGGGAGGGGGAAAGGGGTGGGCTGAGAGAGGTTGAGAGGTGTGGAAGCTGGATGGAGGAGCCGGCTGCGATGGAGAGAGCTACGTCGAGCTTGTCGCGCATGCCAAAGAAAATGGCGGATGTGTGTTCTGGTGGGGTGTGGGGAAAAGGGAAGAGCTGGACGGACGAGGTGAAGGCAATGGAGAGCAACGACAAGCTGAGCTTGCCACACATGCCAAGAGAGCAGCAGGCGTGTGGCCTGGTTGGCGCAGTGGAGGGATCGGGGAAGAAAAAGAAAGGCGGAGATTGTGGGAGTAGATGGTTCTTCAGAAATTTCAGATTCTTACTGGAAGCAAAGGGGAAGCGGTAACAGGAGGGGGGGAGAGAGTGGGAGGGGAGGGGTTGGGAAGGAAAGAGGGAGGGGTGCCGGGTTCATGGGAAGCGGAAAAAAACAAGTTCAGTTGAGAGCAGGGCAAAGAAGGAGGGGGGTGGGATGAAGGGGGATAGGAGGGGGTTAGGGGAGGAGTAGTGGCAAGGCAATCACCAGTGACATTATTAACGAGTGGCAGCACGACGACGCAGATCCCGGAGAAGGGCACATTCCACTGCGTGGCCGTTCCCTCAACCGAATTCACCAGATCATCCGACAGGACGGAGATCAGCGTCGTCACGACAATCAGCCAGAACACGCCGCCCCACAAGCCCAGCTCCGACTGCTCCACGCCGCCGCCGCCGCCGCTGCCGCCGTCCGCGCCGTCGCCGCCGTCTTCGCCCTCCTCGAAGAACTCGCGGTGCGTGACGAGCTGGAAGTAGATGTACGCGGCGTACGCGAAGAGCATGAGGACGGCAGCGAAGCGCGAGAGGCCGAGCTGCGAGTCGTATTCGTGGAGCTCCGTGCCCGTGGCGTGCAGCAGGTTGGGGAAGAGCATCCCGCTCATCGCGAGCATCAGCGCGCCTGCGGAAGGGCCGGGGGGAACGTGGGGGGCAGGAGAGGAGGGGAGGCAACGGGAAGCGGGTAGGGGTGGGGAGGGGAAGGAAGGGAGAAGGAGGGAGTTGCGATGAAAGAGAGGAGAGGACTGGAGGAATAGAAAAGACGATGGAGGGGCGGAAAAGGCGAATCCAAGGGGGAAGCGCAAAGAGGCAGAAGGGGGGGGGGGGGGGAGGGGGGGGGGGGGGAAGGGGGGAAGAGGTGGGGGGGAAGGTCCTGGCAGCAGCACTCGTTTGCAACAGAAGGAAGGTTCTCGCAGCGGCACTCATGGCGTGGCCTGCCGGCAAAACCCTGGGCTAAAACGGGCTTTCTCAGATTACGATCTGCGTCACCTTCGCGTATGTTTTTGGGGCGCCTAATAAAAAGACGCGGGCTGTCCTAGTAAATGATCTGCATGACCTGGGTGTTTCTTTCCGGTCCTTCCGAAAGATACACGATGACGGTTCTCGTGATTGTTAGTTAGCGAGCAGAAACAAGTCATGCTTCATGCTTATATCGTCACGATGAATCCGCGATGTGCTTATGCCATAATCAATCGGTAATAAGGTGATCGGATGCTTCAACGTACCACTGTTCATTTGCGCGGCTGGGCGATTAAACTCCAGATGCTTGTGGTAAATTCCTCCTGCGAGGAACGCGCTTCCCAGGCACAGCAGAAGATTCCCCAGGATCGATCCGAGGATCGAGAGCTGAATAATCCGAACGAGCCCTCTTTTAAGAGCCACTAGAACGATGATAAGCTCCGGAGCGTTGCTGAACGTAGCGTTGAGGAGCCCGCCCAGAGTAGGGTTAGTGCACAAAGCGAGTTGCTCTGTAACGAAACCGAGACGCTCCGCGAGGGGGATCAAGGAAAGGAGGCTGAGGGTGAATACGTAGCCATCAGGGAAGTTATGGAGGATGGCGAGAAAGGTCGCGGGAACGCAGATCAGGAGAACGTTGGATCTCGCGCCGAAGAAGAGCGCCCCGAGGCTGCGTCTCAGGTACGTCGGCATGCTTTTCGGAGCAGCGTCGGAGGACGCGAGGAGAGGGCGTTGTTGCTGCGTGTGCGTCATACCGATATGGTGATCCTCGGAGCCCGCCATTGCTGCTAGCTCAGCCCAGTCTGACTCGGGAACACGGTTGTCAAGAGAGGGAAAACGTTTGTGGCGAAACAGTCGGGGTTTACCCCGCATGTTGATCGGCCAGCGCCATGTGGGGTGGAGTTAAAGATCCGCGGTGCTGGATGTTTAGGGGCGAAGCTAATAATCCTGCTGCTGAATCTGAGTAAGTTTGAAATGGCGTCCACTTTAGAAGGAATCACCGCTGATGGAAGGACAAAAAAAAAGCCCACGGCCGCAGCAATCAGCTTTATCCAATCCGCTCCACTCCACAGACGATTCCAAACCAGGGTGCACATTCAACGCGGTTCGGCTTGAGATGTTGGGAAGGGGGTTTGGAGAAAAACAGTGATTGGCTCACGAGGGGCGACAAAAAAATGATTCCGCTAGAGCTTCGGGCATTTCGTAGGTGGCGGGAGGGGGTGAAATGGCGGGAGTGGGTGAAACCGAATGGCGGGAGGGATGAAACAGATTGGCGGGAGGGGGGGGAAACGAAATTGCGGGGGAGGGGGGAAACAAAATTGCGGGGGAGGGGGGAAACGAATTTCGACGGGGAGGGGGAAATGAAATTGCGGGGGCGTGGGGAAACGAAATTGCGGGGGAGGGGGGAAACGAATTTCGACTTGAAGGGGTTGAAAGCACACCTCGTAACCCACTCAGTCAAGGGTTGTGCTGTGCTGGCATCGATACAGTAGAATGCTGCTGCCTGCTCGGTAGTCCCAAGGCGCACTGCCCCTGGGAGTTGCCAGGTTCAATGAAACTGGCAAACCCGAATTTGCTATCACTTGGAATCACCCTGTTCCGAAATGCTCATGGAATTCAAGCAGCTGGCCAATGCAACTGACGGGTCTTTGCTACACATCGGTTAGTTAACTTGGAGTATAGTGAGGGAGCCTATGATCCTCATGGATTGTAGTAACTGTGTCTAGGGTGGTTCCTAAACGTATCCTTACGAGCTGCAAGGTCCGGGGTGCGATGAGCAAAATATGCAATTAACCGCAGATTCACGAGCTCTTGGCGAGGCAAACACTTGCGAAGTAACAATTGCGACAAAGGTACGACGAAGCGAATGGACGATCAGCACCACACACTTTCAAATGCACGCGTTCGTCGTGTCTCTACTTTGGGATCACAGGGTGTCATCGCTCCTGACGCGCCGCTCGCAAGTCGAATTCGACGGTAGAGATCGCTCCCAAGCTTCGCATTGTTCAACTGTACGTCTCCTCCACTCCGACCAAGAGGACCAGCTGAATCATTGGTTGAAGGACGTAAGCGGAAATGGAGTCACGATAATCACTCCCTAACTTGCGGGACCACCATTTTGAGCAACCCGTCACTATCCACTGCACAAACCGGTGTTGCCATAGCCAAATATGACGACTAAGAATCCTAAAACGACTATAATCTGGTTCCTAAAACGAACTAATTGTTGGTTGACGACGGTTGCTCATCTTATGCTGGGGGAGTTTATCCATCATGAAAGAGTGATGGTTGGTGGGAATCCACAGACAAAGCATTTAGGGTGTGTGTGATTCTTTTTTTGAGTTCGTAAAACGGGTCGAACTTTTGGTGGTAGCCGGTTTTGCCGATGTCGCTAATATGTTTGGTCAATGTTGACTCAGTTCTGAAAACTATGCGAACATACAAAAGTGAACAAGAGTCAAGAATATACCCAAACGTGGTTTTGTATGATGAACCGAACGCGTGTGGTTTCAGACACATACGAGGACCAGCGACGCTTGCGAATCATTCGTCAACTCGCGCTGTCAAGAAGACAACACCAGGTAACCTACGCACCCTATAGGCGGCTCGGTTCACCCCCAGTAATCTCGAACCTCCAAATTCGCACTTGCGTGTGTGAATGTGAGTCAAGCACCTTTGACACCTGCGGTTCTAACTTGCTGTAGCTCAAAGTTGAATAACGTTCACTTTGTGTTCGCATGCTACAATCAAGTTAAAAACATAAACTTATGGCAGTTTCAAAAATCACACACGCCCTTAGGAACTGATGCTTGAGTATTTCAAATACATTGAACAAAGTGGAAAGTGGAGCATCGGTAGCTGCGAATTAACTCGGCATAATCCACAAGCTGAACAGCAGATTTGCGGTATTGGGCAACCTACCAATTTGATCGTGGTGAGTAGATATATTGTTTACAGATTGTGAGATAAGTTCAATCATTTAGCTCATGCAGAAGCTATACCCGCCTTGGCGGTTCTACCCACCCACAGCTGGTCCTCCTGCGCTAACGAGGAAGTTATGGATTTAGGCAGGTGAGGCGAGCCGCCCATGTATTGTTCCAGTGAGCGAATGAATGGAAGCCGCTAATTCAAGGGCGCCCTCTAAGGCGATGGCTCGTTAGGGCGTGTAAAATCGCCGCACCTAAAAATTCGGCCACTAGCCAAATGGCCGACTTTGCGAAAGTAACCCGTTTGAGAAAAAATCGAAGACGCTCGTGACTGTCGTTGATTTCGCCAATAAAAAACGAAATTGATGGCCGTTTTGAAAGTCGACTCGTATCCGACACCATGTCGACTCGTATCCGACACCATGTCGACTCCAATTCGGCCAAGTTGTCGACACCGTGAGCGATTGTCACGTATGACGTCGCACAGTCTCGCAGAGCGATTGAATCTGTTTATCCTGTCCAATCAGAGTTTTCGCCGTCAAATGTATGACCCCGTCGCGCATACGTTCCTACTGTAGCAACTGCAAATTTTACAACTTTTTGAAACCGGCCTGATATTCGGCCCTCAAACCTGTAAAGTTTGCAAATCTGCAAATAGTGGCTGTAAATGTGACGACACCAAGTCGACCAATCCGTCGACTTTCGCGAAAGAAATGTCAACCAGATGGTCGACGTAAAACGGGCCAAAAGCAGATTTCGCAAATTTGCGGGGACTTTACACGCCCTTACATCAAGGGCGGTCGTGTCGTCCTCATTCCCTAGCCTACATAATGCTCCTCGCTTCCTCACCCAACCAACCATGTGCTTTGGCTCGGCTCATTCGGCTCGGCTCATTTGGCCTGACCCCCGCATCTTCCCAACAACATCTGTCGCCTAATGCTCACCACTCAATACCACACCACATCCCACTTTAGAATACAGGACCGTTTTACAGCGACTCACACCGTGGTCCCAGGAAGGGTGGGTGCGATTTATGGGTGATGGCGTGGATGGGGTCGAGAGAGAAAAGGTGGAAAATCGCAAGTTGGCTGGTGACTGACGGCGATGCCGCTGCTGATGCAGGCAGACGGAACAGAACGGAACGGGATGGGACGGAGAAAGCAGAAAAAGGGCATGTATGAGTCAAGCAAGCGATGCTCAAGCTGGGTAAAGAGCTGTTCAGGCCTAGTCCGCCTCCTCATTTCCTTGCATCCTTTTTGCATTATACTCTTACGTTTGGGGTTAGACCCACCTTCGCCTTCCTGTGTAGGAGACCCGTTTACCTGGTGAAGTAGGCCGTGGTTTTCACTCAGATCCTCCAGGCGTCGTGCACCGGATGCCTCTGCTCTCCATCTTTCGAAGCTTTGTGAACACGTCGTCTGGATTGGTTGATTCCCAAGCTCGCACTGTTTGGGAATCAGTTATTCGCGAAAGCGCGATTTACGCCATCTCCGTCCTACGTGAAGCGTTATTTAACAAGGTAAAGGCCTACATGACAAAAATTAACTTAGCACGTGACATCCGTTTGTTTTATCTTGATTCTCGCACTTCCGAAACCCTCTGCTTTTTATCTGTTTCACTGGTTCTGAACGAACGTGATTTCTTATGGTTCCTATGGAAAGAGATGCTAGGCGTAACCGTGAATCCTGATCTGACAAAATGACTTCAGCAGTTCCGTGAAACGTGCTTCGTAGCAACGACTCCATTTTCCCCCTTTTTTAGAATTAGTTGCTTGTCTGTGGGTTGGAAGCCGGAGGTTTCACGACTTCATTATCACGCGCCTGACAAATTCCATGTCAACTTCTCTTTTTTGCAGGCTGGAGCCTTGTTTGAACACGTGTTGATCCCGCTCCGACCACTGGACAAATCGCCGTAACCCCCCTTTGAAAGGTCTCGCCAACAAGTTGCCTTTCTGACGGATCTGCGCTGCACTTCAGAGGCGGGACTTGGGTTGAGATCTTTTGGTCCATTTGGCCATGGCAGCTGAAGTGAGTCCATCATCAACAGGCCTGTTACTCGGCGTCGGCGGCGTTACCTTCTGCAGTTTGCCGCAAGGACCGGTCACAGGCATCACCATGGGTAGTTCCCCTAGCCACGGCAGCCATAGCTCCCACGACAAGAGTTGGGACCACCCCGCGTCTGCCGCGCAATCCCCTCCATCAACCGACGCGTTTGCGCGTTCTCCAGCTGCGGAAACAGCAGACGAGCACGGTTCAGACACAACACCCACGCGAGGAGCCGCGGAGGCAGCGACGGCGGAAGGCGAGAGTCAGTCTGTATGTCAGGTTCTGCGGTGGGGCCAGAAGAAGCGGTTGAGGTACGTTCGCAGTCAAAACCCTACCACCAGCAGCCCTGCTTCCCATCCTTCCGTGCTGGCTGGCGCTCCTGTGTCGAGTATTGCAGCGATCTCTGCAGTCCGCGCAGTGTGTAAGGACGAGAAGAAGGGTGCGTGGGAGGAGGAGTGGAGGGAGAGCGGCGAGCGTGCGGGAGAGGATGCATGCCGGTTGCGGGTTGCATGCGGGAGAGGGGCGAAGAAGGGCGGAGAAGCGTGCGAGATGGAGGGAGCGGAGGAGAATAAAGCAGCGGTAAACAGGATGGAGGGAGAATCGGTGAAGGAAGAGGCTGGACGTGGCTCGACTGCCTCGGGGACGAAAGTCTTGGAATTTGCTTACCCTTGCAAGGTGAAACGTGCTTCTGCACGCGCGCATGAACCAAGCTTGCCTGCTCTGTTCTCTAGGGGCGAGAAGGAGGCGCGAGGAAGGGGCGCCAGGGAACAGTGCGATCAGCAGCTTCTGCGACTTGATGACGTGCATGATGGTACCTGTGCTCATCCTGACGCTGACGCTCACTCTGATAATGATGCTGCTGCTGATGATGATGCTGATGGGGATGTTTCTGGCGGTGGCGAAGCAGACGGATACGATATAGATGCCGGGGAAGGGGCTTTCAGCGATGACTCGTGTCCCGCTCGCAGCCACACAAGGCGAAAGAGGCACCATGGTCAGCCGCTGCACAGCGCTCGCGAGTACAAGGGCCGAGGTAGAGAGAGAGGCAAGGAGCGGAAGAGGATCCAGCTTGGGGAGAAGGCCCGCAAAGTTGGAAGCAAGGAAAGAAATGCTGTGATTGCAGGCGAGGATTCGTGGGAAGACCATAGCAGCTGTGGGTTGATCCAGAGCTACCGGGACCTTTTCAGCACGCCACACCCCTCTGTGGCCTCCCTGATTTTCTCTGGGCATTGCCCGCTGTCTGCGGCATCTGCAGCAGCGGCGGCGGCGGCAGCTGCGGCAGCAGCGTTGCCAACAGCAGCAGAAGCAGCTGCTGTGGTTCCCAAGTTTCTCATCAGCTTGTCGCGCGTTGAAAAGGAGGAAGATTTCTGGGCCATACGAGGAGGGAGGCTTCCTCTGCGGCCGAAGAAGCGATCAAAAGCAGCGGAGAAAGGTGTCCAGGTAAGCTCAGAAACCTGATGGTGCCGGGGCTAGCTTGGCAGTCTGCAATAGCTGTGGCAGTTCAGTGCACTGTGTGCAATTGCTGCTTCTGTGTGCGTTCCATGCATCGTACAGTGTTGAGATTCTGTGAGCATATGCTGCTTTCTTCACCCTTGTTTTTCTATTTCTTCCCTGTGGCAGCGTCTTCAACCTGGCGCTTGGCTGACTGGAGTGTGTTGCGAGCGGTATCAAGTGAGAGAGCGGAAATCAAAAAAGGTGTGTAGCATGGTTCTCGATGTGGCTTAGTCAGATGCTCTGCCTTGATCCTTCCTTTATTCACTCGATTGCTGCAGTTACCTGCCTGGCTGTGGTCAAATGTACCTGCCTGTTGCTGTGCTTTGTATGAAAACAACATTTTTGCCTTTTGCATCTCTCCCACTTCATTGAATTTACACTCGTGTACTTTGAAAATGTCCCCTCATGCTCGCAGAAAACCCGTGGTCTTCGTGGGATGAGCGGGAGAGGAAGCGATACAGAGTGACAAGATGATAGCATACGCTGGTGAAGAAGTGGTTGCTTGCCAACAAGATCCGCAGAGCTAGCACAAGCAGGCCATGCCAATACAACACTCTGTTGCATATTCATGGAATCAGCAGGTCAAGTTCTTGCGTACCTAGCATTAGACTACCGTATGAATTACCCTGGATGTGGGTTCCTTCACTCCATGAAATGTTGTTCTGATTAACCTAGAAGCAGCAGCACTAATGAAGGAAAGGCAGGCACCATCCAAAGAATTGACCAGCAGTCTTAATACTGTACCGGGCTAGTGGGACTGTACAGTTTGACGCGTTCCATTGGCTCCCCTTAGGGATGGTGGCGTGGCGAGTGGTTGGTTCAGGGTGGGGGGAAAACCGCCTTTTACGTGAGGGACGGGATGGGAGTGTACAGTATGCGTTCGCGACAAAAGGTGAGACGCGGTCAAAATTCCCCAATCTCCATTCCTGCAGTAGCGGGCGACCTCTCTCTCTGTAACAGGCGCAGCCAATGTAACCTGATAGAGCGACAACCTAGGTGTTGTACGACTAGCATTGACCGTCCGATCAGCCCATCCAAGTAATCTGGGGATTGACCTGAAGTCGTTCATCTCGTGTCGTGTAATGAAAGAGTGCTGTTGGAGTGGCTGGCAGGTGGCTCTGCACAAGTGATGACACGGCGTGGATGGCGCGACCTCGGTGGTTCAACTTGGTGCCCATTCGCGTTGCGCAGCCAATGTCAGCCCATTCGCGTTGCGCAGCCAATGTCAGCCCTCAGCCCTTGGTGTCTGCGTCCAACCAGGGCCAACTCCTGCGTGAGGTTCATACAGCCAGCCACCAACCGCCTCATCGATTGTACAGTCGATGCTCAGCCTATCACAAAACATTTGCTCCTCACAGTTAGAAATTTAGTCACTCGCGAACGTTTTGCCCGTGAGTGACTAAATTGACCATTGTGCCGATTTCAGGGTACAGTCACCAAGTTGAGGAAGAAAAACATCTACAGTTCATAAACAACAACGGTTGTCCGTCATCAGAGAAGTTAACCTGGTTACGAAATTAAAGCCCTTAACTCGATTCACGTTGCAATTTCATATTAGTCACATTTTTGCCCGTGGCGACAAGGGCGAACGTGGCGAAATGTCTCAAACTCGTTTCACGCACATGCCGCCCGCCTACCTGGTGTTTTTGAAATGGGCACCGACTGTACAGTGCTGTACTGTGCATTTTCCTCGACTCCCGCGTGAGTGTGACTCGATGGACTCGAGGCCCTCTTCAGTCCCGCCCTCGATACTGTCTTCGTTGATCCCCACCGTGCTTCACACATCACATCTTCGTCATGTCATCGTCACATCCCCACCCCCTACCCCTCTCCCACTCCCTCTCTCTAGAGTGGATTCCATCTGGGCCCGCCCTGTACAGTATATGAAACCCACACTGATCTAAAAGGACACCCACCCCTTCTGCTGCTCGTTCCAACGCGCCCCACCGTTTCACACAAGCACCCTCTGCTAGCCCCCTTACCTCCCCCTCCCTGCCTCAGGCCGTAATCTTCCATAATGGCTTCTATTGCCTTGCCATGGCGTCTTTTGATATTTGCGGAGCTGAATCAGAGAGTGGTCGATTTGTCGTAGCTCCAGCTTGGTTGCGGTAGGATCCAGGTCCAGGGAATGGTCTGGGCATGGGAGATTACGAACTAAGTAAGCTACAATCCCATCTTCGACGCCGATAAGCAGTCTTTTTTTCTCCTCCTCCTTTAGCGCACACAACCGTAGCAGATGAACTTGCTTGTGCTCTTACGGAGCAACCAAACAGATGATGCTCATCAGGCCATACTAGTCTACAGTTTCGAAAAGGCCAGAACATGTCTCATATGTACTGATACTAGCACTATTACTGCTAACCTCACAGCCTACGAGTTTACTCCCGCCCTGACGCATTGACGTCGACCCATGCCTCCTACGCTCGTCCTTCCCGCGCGATCCTGCTGCTCCTTCTCTCACCACCATCCCCACCGCCGCCATAACCGCCAGAAACAGCGCTCCGTGTAGTATTCACAGCCGCTGCGACGGCGCCATCATGGCTACATCCGCCGCCCGATTTGTTACTGAAGTGCGACGATTATGGCACCACCAACCGCTCTGGGTCAACCTGAATCCCTCCTCTTCGTCTTCCTCCACCTCCTCCTCCTCCTCCAATTCGACCTCTTCTCTTGCGCGCCAAGCCGACTGCTCCTCTAATTCCTCGGGAAGTGCCGTCGCCGCCTTGACCTTCGCTTGCCTGCGACCGTGCGAGAGTGCTCTCGACAGCACCAGCATGTGTCGCATAAACGCGGGGTTTTTGCCGCAAACGATCATGTGGGCTCCTGGCGGAGCCTTACACGCTCTCTTAAACTCGGCCGCGCCGGGTGTAGACGGTTTCCCCCCTTCCGCCATCGCCGCCGCAGCGGCGGCTGCAGCGTTGCTGCCGGTGGAAGCTGTGGAGATCTCGACGACGCGTCGCACGGCGCTGCACATGTCGTCGCTGCGACCGCTGGCGACGTTTCCACTGGTGGACAAGCAGACGGGGCAGCTGTCGTGGAAGATCGTAGGCATCGCAAGCGATCATCCGCTTGCTTCCGCCGCTGTAGACGCGTGTGCGAAGCTAGGAAAGGCCATATGGAACCCTAATAGTGCGCGCAAGGGCGGAGGGGAAACGAGCGTCGGGGCGCCGCCAGGAAAGAGTAAGCGGGGGGGAAGTTGGGACAGCAAGGAATTGGCGCGGGATCAAGCTTTGGCTACCGTCGCTGGTTTAGTATCGCGCTGGTTGGTCGACGCTTATGATCTTCTCGCGGCACTCAATAACGAACCAACGGGCGTGGTGGCCGGCGCCGAGGGCGCGGAGCAGCGGCGACGGTGGCAGGTGGGGGAGCGCGCGGTGTTCGGAGTGGCGGAGAACGCGCACGTGACGTGGCAAGGCATGATGCAGCAACCACCGCCGGGGCAGGGGGCAACAGGCGCGCGGGAGTTTGCGCCAACGCTGGTGGCTCAAGGGCTAGTGGCGCAAGGCGTGCAGTGGACAGGGCCGGAGGCACAGGCGCAGGCGCAAGGGCAGGCGCAAGCGCCATGGGCGCAAGCGGAAGGGGAGCGCTGGTGGGGAGATGGAACATATGGGATGGGCGGGGAAGCGGATGTATGGTCTCAAGGGGGCAGTGGAGGGTGCATGACTCCTTCTGGCGTTACATTCACTGGTTTCACAACCCCTAGAGGTCTAGTGGTAAGCGGCTCAGATGCTGCTTGCGGCACCCCCTCTTTTGTACAACTGCTGCTGCTGCAGCAGCAACAGCAGCTGCAGCAAATGATGACGGTGGCGATGACACAAGGGAGTGACGATGGGCGGGATGAGGGAATTGAGGAGGAGGGAGAGGGGGAAGGCGAGCGGGAGGAGATGGTAAGGCGTAAGACAGGGGAGAAGGTGAAAGAGAAAGGGAAGGTGAGAGAGGACAGGGAAAGGGAAAAAGGAAAGGAGAGAGGCAAGGAGAGGGACATGAGTAGAGTGCGCAGGGTGGGTGAGCGGGCGATCAAGGCAACGACGAAGACTAAGGAAAAGGAAAAGCGTAAGGAGGGAGAAGAGAGGGAGGGAGATAGGAGGAAGAGCAAAGAGAAAGAGAGGGGTCATGGTCATGGGCAGGTGCATGGGCATGCGGAGGGGCATGGGCATGGGCACGGGCACGGGCACGGCCATGCGCGCTCTCAGAGTGGGGATGGTAGCATCGGCAGCGGCGGCGGCGGCAGTGGCGGTGGTGGTGCGGTTGAGGAGATGCAGAGGGCGCTTCAAGCGAGGTACGCTGCTGCTTTAGGGAGGCAGCAAGCAGCAGCGCAGGAGGGGCAGCGAGGCTGTGAGAATCCCAGTTCACCCGCTTCCCATGCTGCTGCCGCTGCTGCTGCTCATGCTTCTGGTGTTGCTGACGCAGATGGTGATAGGGACGGTGCTTGTAGCGGCAGTAAGGCCAGCCATGCAAGCAGCAGTGGGGCTGGCAATGACAGGAGCAGGCGCAGCAGCAGCAGCGGCAGCGCGGTTTTGAGAGCTGGCACTGCAAGCGGAAGCAGCAGCAGCTTCAGCGGGAGCGGCAGCAGCAGGGAAAGGAAGACGCCGGAGAGGAGGAGGGGGGGATCACACGGGGAGAGTCCGTTGGGGGTAGCACCAGGGGTTGCATCTGAGCATGGGGTGGCGGAGGGAGGGTTGACGTGTAGTAGCAGCAGCGGGAGCGGTTGGCGTGCGCTTGGGAGCTTCAATGAGGGCAGAAGTAGCACTGCCTCCCCAAGGCTTTCACAGATGCCTTTCCCAATGCCCGTGCGAGATGTAGTTATGACACCAGAGCAGCAGCAGCAGCAGCAGCAGCAGCAGGCAGCGTTAATGATGAATTTGATGCAAGGATTCCACTCAGGACCTCTGCCCTTCCGCCCTTTCACTCCGGATCCCTTGCTGCTGCAGCACCAGGAGCAGCAGCAGCAGGCGCTGAATCAGATTCACAGGCGCAGCAGCAGCAGCGGCGGGGTGGATGGGGGCTATATTGCTGGCAATGCGAGTCCGAATGTGAGTGTGTCTGGGAACGTTGTCGATTGCAATAACAACAACAAGGACAGCGGCAGTAGCAGCAGTGGCGCTGGCAGATTCAGGAGCAGGACGATTGGTGGGCCGACAGCAGTGTCGGTTGGAGAAAGAGGGTGGGGGAGTATGCATGGGAGCATGCAACAAAGGGCGTCTGCTGAGAGCATTGCGATGGGAGCTCGTGCTGCTGCTGCTGCTGGCGGTGGTTGTGGTGCGGTTGCCGGTTTCGGAAGGGAGCAGGAGCGGTGGGAGGTGGACGAGGAGGGAGCGCAGCAGTGGCACGAGCA